TCTCTTCTCAAAGCTGGGCTTGAATTAATTCTGCTTGTAAATTGGCCTATTTTTTCTGCCAGGCGCAGTGTTCGTAAAAATTGTAGTCTACTTGTAAACATCTTCTCAACCTAGTTGGTCTGCTCGTATTCTGGTCATTAGAACAACAACGGAAACCATTTTTTTTTTGCCCTTTACGATGTTGTAATCTTTTTCTCTGACTGGCATTGCGTACTGATTTTTCATAGTACTAGCAGTATCCTTTCCACAGGCTCCCACAAATTATTGCTTCGAACTTACAAATTTCGCTTTTGGCCTTTTTTCGCTTATTCTACCCAAAAATTATTCTACCCGAAAAATTTTCTTTGCTTAAACACCAAAACATGGACCCTTTTTTAAAAATTTCTATTGAAAACCTCCCCCCCACCCCCCAGCCCTTAATTCGGAGTAACAGAGAGCCCACAGTAAGAGACGGCCTCGCTACCTGCTTGCCTTCCCGTAGGAGATGAGGTGCACTGAAGTATAATAGTTACCTTGAGGCGCGAAGGCCTCTTGTAGTTTTGAACTGAATTTGCGAACTGATGATTTTTGGGGGGGTGGCATTTTAGGGTTGAGACGCTTTGCTGAAGACTTTTTTAAGGGAAGAGGCAACAATAGCGTAAAAGTGGCCCGATTGTTTTTTTCCTGATTAAACAAAAATGAATTGATCCTCGCCGTTCAAAGAATGACTTTAAAGTGTGTCACTGTAGAAAGCTGGACTTGGAAGCTGTCTGGAACTACTTTGATGTTTTTCTTTGCATGCAGAGAGAGATAAAAAAGAAGGAATCTTTGAAAATTAATCATATAGGTCTTTTTGTGGGGATCCAACATTTTTTCCTCGTTCAAGTCCCTATCCCTCTCACTAATATACTTAAGTGCGCCTCTTCTCTTCCCAGTTTGAGTACCTTCAACTCCGCCACTGATTTAAGCCTAGCAGCAGGTTTCACTGTCAGTTGTACAACATGACTTATATCATGCATGCCTTTACACTTCAGATCTGCATGTTCAAGGAATACAACACTTGACTGAATCAACCGGCGACAGAAATATCGGTCTGGGACAGGACAGCGATCCTGACCCAAAGAGTGGAAACA